TCCTTACTAATAACATATGCGGGTATATTGAATGTCGGGTATGATCAATTCACCGTACTCGTTGAAGTGGCCTGGTTGCATTTTCCATTATTTAAAAAAAAAAATATTTAAATTTTATATGGAATAAACATATAATATTAATCTTTTTTGAAAATGGAAACATTTCATTACATTTTTATAGTAAAATTAAAGATATGCTTCTCATTTTATATTATATAATCAGCGATCAATGGCGAGCAGATATTGCTTATGAAATAAATTCTAAACAAGAAGAACTCACTGGAACGAATTTATAGGTGGGTTATGAAAACTTGGACCCAGCCAGTTTCGGCGTGTGTAAACGGATAGTCACGAGGTCATTTGGTTTCACTCCAACGATATCCCGTCAATTTCACATTGTCTGGGTTGGTTTTCTTCTGATTTTCCTTCAGTCGGCCTTTGATTTGGAACGGTTCCAAAGAGGTTTGTTCACCGAAGCGGTCCCATTAACTAGTGTAAAAATTTCTATACAGACAAGTCGACTCCGGGGTGAATTGGCGTGAGGATGGTCGAGGGGCGAATGTGGCAGTGACCCTTGTTTATATTCGGATCCCCGCAACACCGAAAGGTTAACTTTTGTTTATTTTATTTGTTTGATCTGCCACGTCCCTCTGATTCACACTATTTGTGCAATTCAATGTACTCTCCCTTTTTTTCCTTTCTCGCCGCCCTCTTCCTTCCTCTCCCTTTCCCTATCTCACATTGTCAATTAGTTGGAATTGTTAGAAAAATAATTCAACTAGTGACAAAAATTACTTAATTTTAAAGGAATATAAACTTCGTGAAAGTGAGAAAACGAGTTATGAAATTTTAATAAGCTTGGTCCCATAGAATTATTCGGCAAAGTAATGTTGAAATTAAGAAAATAAAGCAATCTACCAATCGCATAACGTTTAGCTGTATTATCACAGCGCCAATAAGATATTAATAAATAATATGGCCAGCAGCTAGGTTCTGAAAACATAAAAATAAAAATCTAAAGTAATATCGTTGAAGTGGTTTTAAAAATCTCCTTGAATTTTATTTTAATTTTCAACAAAATAATTAATGTATAAAAAAGAAAGTCCAGTAGTCAAAAAAAAAATATATAAAAAAAATAAAAAATAGAAAAAACCTTTGCACATACGTTAGACGTCCTAACTTATCTGCAAAGATTTTTTCTATTTTTTATTTTTTTTACATATTTTTTTGACTACTGGACTTTCTTTTTTAAAAAAAAAAATCACTTCCAAATTTCTGACAGCAGATTTTGCTCACATCAATATTTGATTTGTATAAAAAAAGAAATAAGTTTAATAGTATGAAAAAAATATTGTGAAAATTTATCAAAAAAATTTATTGTTTATTATAGAACAAACAAAATTATGCGAATATTACTACATATTAACTAATTTTTCCCAGATTGATCGATATTCACATTTAAAAAATCACTTACAAATGTCTGACAATAGATTTGATTCAAATCTATATTTGGGATGTAAAAAAACGTTTAAATGTACGATAAGAAACTAAAAAAAAAGTAAAGAATTTTGATATTTGTCATAAAAAGCTGTTGTCTATTATAGGCCACTTAAAATTACATGTATATTATGAAAAGTATTTAATCAATAATATATTCCGAGATTAAACAATATTTTTAATTTTTAAAAAATCACTTGCAAATCTCTGACAGCAGATTTTGCTCACCTCAATATTTGAGTTGTATAAAAAAACAAAAAAAAAAACAAGTTTAGTAGTATAATAAAAAAATATTGTGAAAATTTATCAATAAATATTTATTGTTTATTATAGAACAAGAGAAATTATTCGAATATTACAAAATATTTATTTACTAGTTTTTTCCCAGATTGTTCAATATTCAAATTAAAAAAAACCATTTACAAATGCCTGACAATAGATTTTACTCAAATCAATATTTGGGCTGTAAAAAATGTTAATTAAAAAAATGTTTATTTAAATGTACAATAAGAAACTAAAAAATGTAAAGAATTTTGATATTTCTAAAAAAAAAAAAAAAACTGTTATGCATTATAGGCCACTTAAAATTACGTGTATATTATGAAAAAATATTTAATCAATAATATTTTCCCAGAATAAACAGTATTTTTAATTAAAAAAAAAAAAACTTATAAATGTCTGATAGTAGTTTTACTCAATAACTGATACTGACAATGACACGACATTTTAATAGAAAATGTAAAATCTTTTATATTCATTTGATAAAGTTTAAAATTGATGTCATCCCAACACTCACAAAAATATGCGGCAGAAACGTTTCCGAACGTTCAGAATTAAAATTAATTTACTCACATGGCATCCGATGGGTAAATCGAACTCGCTTTAATGTATCAATAAAATATGAGATGTTTTTAAGGCCTAAAATATTTTTAAAAAAATTATAATCGGAGTAAATAGTTAGTACGTTAAATGATTGTAACCGTTTGATAAATTATCATAACTTTTGAGTTAAGTAAATTATTTCTTAATTAAGTTATTTGTGAGACATTTTGTTTTGGCTTTCGTAAACTTTGCCACGGGATGACTAAATATTTTATAAAAATTGTAACTGCTTTTAAAAAAAAATATCACCGAAGATTTCCCAGAAGATGAAACTCGTTTTACAGAAAACAGTGAAGATAGATGGACTAAAAGGATCGAAAAACCAAAATACTCGTTTATCAACCCGCAACACGGTAAGATGAAATATCATAAAACAGAGAAAAGTTTTTAAAAAAATTGAAAAGCTTAGTGTATATATTAAAAAACAAGCGGTCCAATTTTTCTTCTTCCTTAACGTACCGTAAGGTCTAAGTGATTTCCGGTTTGAATTACAAACAAATTTATATGTAAATTAAAGTATAAGTTGTGTGAGATATATATAAAACCTAGGTTTTAAATCCGAATCTACATTAAATGAAGTTCGATTGATTAAAATGATAGACTACAAATTACCCATAGCCATTCCCCCCCACATCATTTTATCCTAACCATTTTTCGGATGAAAAGTGCATTCTTTATTTTTTATTATTATTGTGTTTTCTTGGCTGTTGTGCTATTGTACAACCAGCAGTTTTATTATTAAACCACAGCATCTTCAGCATAGAATAAGACAGGTCCCAGGTCGTTTCGAGATTTGAAATGTCTATATATATATATATATATATATTGAGACTGGTCTTACGTTATTTGATGATTTTCATATTTTATGCATATTCCGTGTCTTTTCAACTAAAACGCCTTCTATCAAATTCAAAAAGGATCAGTTTTTAACGTTTTTATTGCGTAAATATGCCGTAAACCTGAAAATTCGAGGTCGAACGAAAAATCGCTTCTGCTGAAAAAAAGTTTTACGTTTCGGTACTCTTTTTTTCCAAAGATTTTTATCCTATTGAAACGATGTATCAATTAATGATCACAATTTGTAAAAAACCGTTGCAACAAATTCTTAGTATATTAAGGCAAACAAAATGAAACAATATTAGACAATAGATCAAACGGATATTGAGAAAATAATGGTACAGCAAATTGTCAACTTTTCTGGCTATACTTCCAGAACAGCTATACTTCCAGAAAACAGATAAATGGTCGTCAAAAATTGCTCAAATACGGAAAAATTTTAATGTTTGATTTTTAATCTAAAAATAAAAACCCTCCTAAAAAATAAATGCTTACCCACAAGCAAAATTCAGGGAGTGGAGGTGGTATTAAAAAAATGAACAAAACAAGCTGATTTTCCGAAAAACCATCCCTTCCCACTAAATCTGAATCAGTATGATCTATTTTCTGAAAACAGTTATAACCTATACATATCGATACATAATTCTAAAATCTGTTTTTTCTCCTTGTTAGTGCACTGAAAAAAGTGTAAATGTTGTCACAAATTTAGTTTGTTGTCAAAAAATTAAGAAATCTCTATTTTTATAATGGAAGAATATAGAATTTGTAGTAACCCAAGAAAAAGTAAACAAAAATTATTTCTTTTCAGAGAAATGGAATTGGAAAAATGGGTCCGAAAAATGACGGTTTTTGGGCTTAGCTTTGTACACCTGAATGACCTTGAAAACGTGCTAAAAACTTTTGCAATTTTAAACTGATGCCTTAACACCAACGTGTAGACCCTTTTATAAAAGAAATGAGTTAATAAAAATATAAATAATCCACGGAGGAAAAGTGTAATTTAAAAACAATGAAGGAAAAAGTAGTTGATCGTCTGAAAAACAGCCGCTACCTTCCTATAATAAGCTATAATAAAAACTAGTTTTCAATTAACTTTATATCATACTGAATATCTGTTATATCAGTGATACAAGGATAATGATGCACCGATTTCCGGCAACTTCATCAGTGATCATGAAAGTGAAAACACTATGAGGGGCATTTCATTTCGGCTCCCCCAATGCTCTTATTTGACAATTACACCGTTTTGTCCCTGGCATGTATACATTTGAGGTAGATTCAATCGAACTGACCTGCTAAGCGGATCGGAGAGGATTGGGGCGGATGACTAATCCACTTTAAAGGATCGCCATCCCCAAAACGAGAAACTCCCTACCGTTTTTCTCAATGTACAACGGGCGTTACTAATCAAAATGTTTCAAATAGTTACAAAGTCAAATATGTATTTATTTATAACCGGATAATTTATAATTTAAACAAAAATCATCGAAGGTAACACTGATAAATATGCCAGAACAATCAAAGTGCGCAAATGTTATGATAGTGTTTAGTTGTGACCGCCTCTTCAGCTGATGGGCGAACGTGTCAGAATCAGTCCACCGTTCAAATCATGTTGACGTTTCAGCCTACGTTCTGACTTAATGCCCTTGTCCAGTACGACCGTCCACGATTACACACTACTCTCCTTTACCATTAATCGAAAGATCAATAAAAAAAATGGGGCCATTAACAGACAAAACCTGCTATTGTATTTATATCAAAATTGTTAAAAACGAACTGCTTACCGTTGTGTACGAGAAGGGTTGAGTCGCGGGCAAGGGCGAGTTCTGAATCTGTGAGCGTCGCGTCGCTCGCTTCTGATGTCGGCGTGTCAGAAAGTCCGGCAGGCTGCTGATAAGTGTGCTGATATATCCCGCTTCTTGACACAACTCCAGGAGAACTCGTCTCCTCTTCACAATCGGAGCTCACTCCGTATGAGGGGTAATAGCGACTTCCTTTCCCTGAAACAGACGAATCACAATTGATGAAACTATACCATTTAATAAGGCATCTATTTATAAACTGATAAGTCGTTGAGTAAGAAACTTGGAAATATCGACAGCTCCACATTTAACCTTCTACTTAAAATATAGTCAATTGATCTGAATTATGGAACAAGGAAAAGCATAAGCCACAAGCCTGCAGTGCTTAGGTATCACGAAAACTATTTCCTACCGTTCTCAACACCCAAACCTACGGAAATGTCTTACACAAAGTTCTATGTAGCAAACAATGTCAGTCGTAGGTATAGAAATTCCGTTAATGCAGGAGATAGATTGCTCGCCGTTGAGAGTATAAGGAGCAATGTCAGTATGAAGTATCACCCGGAAAAGTGAATAGGGAAATATTGAGATGATTACGGATGTGAGTGGGTATCAAGTAGAGGATAGGGCTTAAGAGACATTGTGTACGCCCAGAACAGGACGGCTGGGTATGTGAAAAGAAACTTACCCCGAATTAAGAGTCAACAAGGTAGGATGAAGCAATAGCCTAGGGTTTACACAGCATCCAAGAACATCAGACCCTATTAAATGTTTGCGCAACGTCAAGAAAGGGATCCGGGCAGTAAAGTTTAAGTTGCCAATGTGCGACCTAAGTACCGAACACTGTCAGTCGTGGAAAGGGAAATTCCGTGGGCGTACAGATGATATAGGATTGCTCGTCGTTGAAAGTGTATAGAGCACGGCAGGTATATATTAAGTAAAAATAGGACTTAGCAAACATGGAATATTACCAGGACAGGATGAATTGGTGAGTAGAAAGAATGTTATCTCGAAGTAAAGTTGGGCAAGGTGGTGTTAGTATGAGCAGTAGTGTTTCGGTTTATCCAAGGATGTCAGAACCGATTGAATTATGCAACGTTGACGAACATCCGAGCATGAGCCTTTTCAAAGCAGAGGTTACCTCGAATTGAGTCGTTTGCTCATGTAAGTCCTAATACACAGTTACCTAGTAGAGAAATTTTGAGGTATAGGGATAACTACGTGGGGTACACTTGCGCCCGGATGGATGGTTAGACTTTACCTGTAAAGCCCTGAAAAGAGCCAAAGCGCGGGACGCAAAGAAAGAAAGACCTCGTGGTTAAACTTTACCCAAAAGTAATGACTGGTAAGGCAGGACTTTAGAATGAAGCACTGCCTCGGGTTTTACACGACGCTCAACATTTCTGAACCATGGAGTCCTAAGCAAGAAGTGTTTATTTCTGAACTGCTGCTAGATCGAAAATAGTTTTGTTTGTAGCATAATGGAAAAAAGGAATTAGCAGCGGTACATCTGTCAAATAAAAACGCAGGTGTCCTAAGGTCAGCTCAACGAGGAGCGCGTAGAGCAAAAGGGCAAAAGCTGGCTTGATCCCGATGCTCCGTGCGCATAGGGACTGCGAAAGCACGGCCCATCGATCCTTTTGGCTTGAAGAGTTTTCAGCAAGAGGTGTCAGAAAAGTTACCACAGGGATAACTGGCTTGTGGCGGCCAAGCGTTCATAGCGACGTCGCTTGTTGATCCTTCGATGTCGGCTCTTCCTATCATTGCGAAGCAGAATTCGCCAAGCGTCGGATTGTTCACCCGCCAATTGGGATGCTGCTAGATCGAAAATAGTTTTGTTTGTAGCATAATGGAAAAAAGGAATTAGCAGTTTTACTTCGCGCTGTATTCCGATTGAAAAAGAAAAACAGTTTTTATTAATCGCCTGCGCTTTATCCATAAAGCTGTGGCCCTGGAGGGGACTTGCACTAAAAAGAAAAAAAAAATTAACGGGACAGCCGAGAAAACGGGCTGAAAATAAAACACCGTGCGTGGCTGTTTTGGAAGTCGTTAACCAGTAATTGTGATGAAAATTCAACGTAAACAAAGGGCGAGGGAGGAGAAAGTTGCGAGAGGGAGAAGTTGCTAAGATGTATCCTCGAGTACCGCAACTTGCCCCGTTTTGGGAAATTAATTAATTCTGTACTTTGGCTCCCTTTTGGCATCAGTCCTAGTGCTAACCGAGATATAGGTTTATTACGTAGTGAAAACCTATCCCCATGCAGTTACAGTCCCATATATCAAACTGGGGAATTTTCTCTATAAATTCCACGTGTTACCACTGAGAGGGTTTACCTTTTTTTACGCCCTACCCTTCGGGAAATTGTTCAATTGCAGATGTCCGTAAAAATACAGGGAAATCAATTGGTGTTTGGTCAGGCATCAGGCGATTAAAAATAAACAGCAGACCAAAAAAACCAACATGAGTTCAGAACGTCGAAAAGTAAAATTCCCGTTGTACGCATATTAAGGGCAAAGCATTTTAGGACCAAAAAATGAATTTTTTAAATTAAACTACAGCCTTTTTTTGCACAAAATAGAACTGGTTAAATGAGATTCTAAGCTTTAGAAGTGGTGGCAATAATTTTTTTCTCAACTAAAATACCGAATATCAACTGAAAAACGAATCAATTTTTACGGCATAAATTGATCGTAAATGTGAAAAATTCCAGCTCGATCGAATCCCTTGTCCAGAAAGTTCCAACTTTCGTGCTAAAATACCTTTAGCAAACCTAACCTAATAAAATGCTTCATCATATTGAAACGAAACGTTTATCGTTTAATATAAAAGGGAGGGCCAAACACTCTAGGAAGAAGTTACACAAACTATAACCTTCTCTGAGAGGTTTCGCAGAATTATGGAGGTTATAAGACCGTGTCCTTCTTGAGGGCATGTGGATATAGGATTTTTCTTCAGATTGCTTGTAATTGAATCTTCTGTCGGTGTGATAACTGGATTGTTGCGCCAAAAAAGATAAAAGTATGAATATGTCCTATATTTTGTTGCAGGTTACAAACATGTTCAATTTTTGATAAGTTCAAATTGTTCTTGGATGTTTGAATACTTCCAAAGTGGAGGAGATTGAGGGGTACATCGACTTGTGCGGTTTGGTTACAATACTGATTATGGAATATTTCCCTAGTGGAGGAAGAAGTTACACAAACTATAACCTTCTCTGAGAGGTTTCGCAGAATTATGGAGGTTATAAGACCGTGTCCTGCTTGAGGGTATGTGGATATAGGATTTTTCTTCAGATTGCTTGTAATTGAATCTTCTATCGGTGTGATAACTGGATTGTTGCGCCAAAAATATCAAAGTATGAATATGTCCTATATTTTGTTGCAGGTTACATCCACGTTCAATTTTTGATAAGCTCAAATTGTTCATGGATGTTTGAATATTTCCAAAGTGAAGGAGAGAAGGGGGACATCGACTTGCGCGGATTGGGCACAATACTGATTATGGAATATTTCCTTAGTGGAGGATCGAGAAAGGTATACGTATAGAATAGTTACAAAAACTATAACCTTCTGTGAGAGGTTTCGGAGTATTATGAAGGTTATAAAACCGTGTCCTGCTTGAGGGTTTGTGGATATAGGACTTTTTTTCAGACTGCTTGTAATTGAATCTTCTATCGGTGTGGTAACTCGATTGTTGCGTCAAAAAAGATCATAGTATGAATATGTCCTATATTTTGTTGCAGGTTACACACATGTTCATCATTTTCAACGGTTTTTTATTTTTCTATTTATAATGTTCTAGAAACGCAAAAGTCCGAAGGGAATCGAGTTTAATAATCAAGGAAAAACTAACCTTAAAATTAACCACATTTAACGTGATAATTAATGCAGCCATTAAACAACTGTAAAAAATGTGGCTATTATCTCCACAAGTCATTCCTTTCTTAATTAAGGTCGTAGGGTTGTGGTTGGACGGCATCTACTGATGAAGGCACGCTGCAGATCGCTGGCGTGTAATTATCCAGCCTACAACACTTTATTCTTACAAGAATTTTAAAAAGGAATAATCATTATTTAAATTATATTTCAATTTGTTATAACATGGGCCGAAGATTTTTTAATCTGATAATTGATACCGTCGTCTTAATAGCGTGCTGGTTTTTTTCCATATCGTTAGGCGAAAATCAGTTAGGAAAAGAAGTTTTTAGTACTTTCAAGTCAAACCGGCCGCAGAATCAATTGGCTAAACTTTAGACGAAGTCCTATCCGGCTCCACATCGGAGGAAGAGAATCTTTTCAAATCTGTCCGCATTTCCTATTCAAACTATTCCGCATACGAAAGTGAAATTCCGAGGGCTTTCTAAGCAATTTCTATTTACGAATTTTCCTTTCTCTATCTAATTGAATATCCGGTTTTATTCCATCGGTTCCCTTTTATAAATTACGTGTAAGTTAAGTACCAATGTAAAGTTTATTTTTGTCAAAAACTTTGTTAACTGAACAAAACCTACTAACCGACGGTTCGTTCCGTTGGTTTTTATTGAATTTCGATTGTTTCAGGCATAAGAGAAAAGTGCGATATTGGCTAAAAAATTCTGATTTTTTTATAGTAAGTCAAAAGATGAAGACAGCGTGAATGTGAAAAACACCACTAGAGGCTCCAATCTAGGGGATATCGAATTAGGGCTGTAAGAGGGGTGCCAGAATTGGAAATTGACATTCGGATCACGGACGTTTCAGGTGTTCTTGTTAACAACCAGGCAACCAAGAAAGGTAACGGTCGTGACACCAGTGCCTTTCCAACACATGAGATGAACAAACCAACATCAGCGGTCTCGCACGTTAGAAATCAAACCGACTTCCTCGTTAGATTACCATTTAAATTCGAATTTAATGCATGTAAAACGTTCCTTGGCTATTGTCGTATCATTAATACTTCTGAAATTGAAATTGAACAGAGGTAGCCATCAGTTCCAATAAAATTGCTTATTGTCGAGGCAACCTCTAACATTCAAGAACATCATGAGCATAACAAAATTGGTGCAAAACGTGGAAGAAATATTGCCACGTTGTACATCAAAAACAAGAACAGATGCTCAAGTCTATAGCAAGCGTGGAAGTTAAGACACAACTTAAGAAAAAAAAATGGACAACTACAATGACCTCTGGTATCACAACAGGGTTTTACCATCTACCAT